CCCAGCTTTCTGGTATAAGCCCTTTATGGGGCCCTAGGGGATCACTTTTGGAAGATGCCACATCATAGAAAGGTGCATACTAAGCTAAAATGCCATTTTTCTCTACAGTCTAGTCATGCTATTGTGCAACACTAGGCCTTGATATTGGGCTTTAAAACTGTTTTGGCATCATAAGAGAACAGTTACTTACATCCAAAGGATCTTTTAGTCTCTAACTCTCCAAACTATCATGGTCAGAACATTATTTGCCACTTTTAGCAGTTTTAACCCTATTAACACACTGTAATGGACTTTACTTGGTCCCAGTTGGCCTAAAAAGACCCAATTAACCATAGATACAGTGTTAGATCACTGAAAATGGTTCAATTATGACCAGGAACGGGTTGAGGGTGAAAATTTCCTTTTTGGGATGCAAAGTGGTAGTGTCCCAAAATGGAAAGTCTTCTTCAAGTGTCTGATCTCTATGCCCATTGTGTAGAGCCTATCAAGGGCAACCAGAGTCATCTATAACATTTTTTAATTGGTGTCCTCGTTGACCTGCAAAATGCAAAATACTTTTCCAGAACCAGCTGTTTTGCAGTGAATTGCCAAACATATCACATTTCAAGATATAGGTTGATTTTTCTAATGTTTCCCTTTTGGGTTGATAGGCGGAGTGACCAGTTTGGGTGCTTGTACCTGTTAAGAACAAGTGGTACCTATTGCACTATAGCAACCTACCTTGTACACCTTAAGGCTAACCAGGACCCCTGCACCTTTCTTACTGACCTCTAGTACACCTTAAGCCCAATCAGTACCCCTGCACCTTCTGTACCTACTCCTAGTACCCGTTAAGCCCAACCAATACCCCCTGCACCTTTCTTACCGACCCCTAGTACCCCTTGAGAGCAATCAGTACCCCCACACTATTGTTACCTCCCACTGGGTACTCTGGTGTGTGCCCTGCACCTCCAACGCATGGGTCAGGTACCGTGGTGTCCCTCCAGCACCCTGTGTACCCACCCCTCCTCGAAATCCCTTGAAAGGCCCCAGGTTACCCCCTAGTACCCCATGGGACCACCCAGGGTCCCATAGTGATATTGTACAAGGGATCCTAGGCAGTTTCCATGCATAGGGGGTATATATACATGGAAACTGCCTAGGTTATTTGGGACTGACAGGTGGGAGGTACCACGAGAGGAAAATAGATTGGTGGGAGGTACCATGAGATGAGAATAGATTCATGGGAGGTACCATAGCATGAAAATAGATGTGTGGGAGGTACCATGAGACAAAAATACAGTCGTGGGAGGTACCACAGCATAGAAAAAATGGATGGGAGGTACCACGGAGGGATGGGAGGTACCATATAGCAATGGGAGGTACTATGACCGTTCTAACTCCATGGGATGTCCCATAGATGTGATTATATCAAGGGTCATGGGAGGTACCACGTACAAGTCCAATAGGGAACTCGAGACATACCGAGTATGAGGGACGCATCCGATAGACCACGTGTTATGTTACAAGCCTAACGGTAAAATAAAGTGAGAACTTTGGTGACTAGGCCATTATCGAAACCCACCTCCTACAAGGCCTGCTCTGTATAAATGAAGTGCTCAGACGATCCCAATCTCATACCCACTGATAGCCCTAGCAGGGACCACTCTGACAAGCCTCGTACCAAGGCAATCACTGCCTGCACTCGAGCCGATTTATGAGCAGCCCAATCCAATATCGGGAAATATCAAAGTGATCAGACCACCCTGATATCACACCCACTGATAGCCCTAGATGAGGGCTTTCTAAGAAGCCAGTACCAAGGCAATCGGCCAACAGATGCCCGCACCAGGGCCCATTTACGAACCACCCAATCCAATATCGGGAAATAGAAAAGTCATCAGACCACCCTGATATCGCACCCACCGATAGCCCTAGACGAGGGCTTTTTAACAAGCCCAGTATCAAGGCAATCGGCCAGCGGATACCCGCACCCGAGCCAATTTTTGAGCAGCCCGGTCCAATATCGGGAAATATCAAGGTGATCAGACCACCTTGATATTACACCCACTAATAGCCCTGGGTGAGAGCTTTCTAACAAGCCCAGTACCAAGGCAATCGGCCAACGGATACCCGCACCAGGGCCCATTTATGAGCTGGCCAGTACACTAGTAGCAAAAAATCAATGTGCTCCGATGTGCCTCCCACCTTACACACAGAAAGGCCTGGGCGATGGCTTTCCAATAAGCCTTTCGGCAGCCAAAACGGTGCCCAGATGCTTGAGATACACCCCTTTTGATGTTTTGATCTAAGGGGTTTCTGGGGTCCTGGCCATGGGTGGTACCACAGGCCTAAAATTTTCGCCCGCCTGTGGCAGGCCCTTGGGAGGTACCATGTCCTGCCATTTGGCCCTGGGCAGTGGTACCTCCCATATACCATGGTATGCCCACGCCCAGAGACCCCTTTGGGTCTTTCATTCAAAGGGATCTAATACACCCTAATGGGTGTACTTCAGGGTAGCCTGAAGTGTCGTGAACACCTTGTGCGGCTCATTGTGTGTAACTAAAAGGTATATAACAGAGTCGAACGGACCAGGACTCGAGCCGGAGTCGAACCGGCGCCTTCCGCTTGTACCCCTCGATCCGTCTCACGTGAAGTGGATGCGCACCGTACGCCTTCGAGTCTTGCTCTGCAGTGATTCGGGACTGGCTATGTGGGGTGGTAAATTATATTAATCCCTATGGCTTTGTTATTGGCTGTACATGTTCAAGCAGAGATTTTCTGAAACAGTGAGTATTTGCAGGTCAATATATGGTCCGGCTCCCCGTAAACATAACGAGAAAAAGAATCGATGGTCTTGGTCCTGGACTCGAGCCGGAGTTGAACCGGCGCCTTCCACTTGTACACACCCGTCTACGGTTCTGCAAGTGAAACGGACGCGCACCGTGCGAACATGACTCGAGCCGGAGTCGAACCAGCGTGCTCCGCCTGAACAGCGCTATATCCGACTAATTATAGCGGATGCGCACCCTGCGCCTTGAGTCTTCCTTGCCAGAGCCCTCCTCACACCAAAGTACAACCAGCAATTGATCGTCCAAATGAGGCACAGAGGGGGTCAAAAATTGGCTATACTCGAGTACTCCCATGTTGAACTTGCATAATGAGGTGACTGTTAAGCGCCCTGTGACTGATAGTTGAACATCATCCAATGCAACAGGAAATGTGAAGGCAAGGCAAGGTCCCAACAATAATTGGCCTTCATGCTACAATGTACCCGCCGTAACCAACAAAAGACTTAAGCGGACATGGGTCCTTTCACGGCTCGAGCCGGAGTCGAACCAGCATGCTCCACACATTCTCTACATTGCTAGTACTTGCTGCACCAGCAACCGTGGACGAACACCGTGCGCCTTCGCCCAAAAGAAAACGGTTTTTCCGCATCCCAAGACTCGAGCCGGAGTCGAACCGGCGACTTGCGCTTGATGAAGCATGGTGGAGGCACTCAAGTGAAGCGGACACGCACCGTGCGCTTCGAGCCTTCTTCCTCTCCCGTCCTAAATCCCTCTTGACACCACGGCACAACTGACACTCCGCGCCGAGCTTCAGTTGATGTGCGATTATTTTTCTGATTCGAGGCATTCGGACTGTTTTGGACGATAAGACATCAGGAACTGTGAACCGGCGCCTTCCACTCGAATAGTAGTGAAGCTCCAAAGTTCAGCGGATGCGCACCTTGCGCCTTCGAGTCTTGCTTCACAATTGTATACTCACCATTTGTGTGGTTGGAAATTCCATTGTCCTTACGCTTCTGCCACTGGCAGTCTGCCAGGCCTCCCGGTAAATAATGATGAAAATCCCTCCTAGGAATCACAACAGATGAGGGATAGCTGGGATAGTATGTATAGCAGGCAATATTAATCTGTGAATTGAAGAAAGCTTAAGAAAAAAAAACTTCCAGACGAGACAAAGTGCAGGAGTCGAACCGGTTGAAATTGCGATGGGACGCACACCCTGCGCCTCGAGTCTTTCCTTCCTCTCCTGGATCCCTCTTCATATCACAGTAGAACCGGCATTGCTCATCGAAATGAGGCACATTGGGTGCTCCCATGTTGACTTTTGGGCTCACCGGTGGCTGATACTTAGTTGAACATTATCCGATGTAACAGGGAATGCCAAGCAAAATAAGGCAAGATCTCAACAATAATTGGATGTCATGTTACAATATAGCCCACTGTGACCAACCAAAAAGTCATCGGAGTCTACAAGGCTCGAGTCGGAATCGAACCGGCGCCTTCCACCTGAAAAGTCTCAAAGAGCGGCTGAAGTCTAGCGGATGCGCACCCTGCGCTTCGAGTCTTACTATCCCTCCCCTGCATCCACCTCGGAGTCCCTCCCTTGGAACCTATGCAAAAAAAGAAAAAAAAAAAGTGAGACGGCAACGGGTGAGAGGATTTGAATCTAGCGACGTTGAACTTTCCCTAGCTGAGTTTCGAGAGGAAAGGACCCGGGAGAAATTATGGGAGGCTGTATGTAGCGCGAGACCCATCGCAAGAAAAAAGGAGAGAAAGTTGATCCAGGACTTCAACCTCCGCAAGACATAAACTTTGTTATCAATAAGCGTCGTGGATGCGCACCATGCGCCTCGAGTATTCCTTCCTCCTCGGTGTATCCTCTTACTACAGGTTTATTTTTCCTGCCCCATCCCCGCGAGGCTCAACAACCCGACAACAGCCGACCATCCGCTCTAACCGGCGAAATATGGATCAGGCATTTGTGTACCCTGTGCCTTCGAGTCTTATTACATAAAATCTACCAACCTCCCTCGTTTGGAAGCCAGAAAAAGTGGCTTACTCCGGCGTATGTATGAAATTGCACTGTAACACAATTAATATTGGTTCCTTCCAAAATTTCCTGCGTTGAGTCCACAGAAGAGTGTAGTGCTGGGCGAAACTATTTGAGGTGCCAGCGGTAAGCCCTGTGAGAAAGAGGACAAAAGAAAAAGTTCATAAACCCAAAACCCAAGACTTGAGCCGGAGTCGAACCGACGCCTTCCGCTTGAAGGTTGAAAGATACTTCACAGCTCAAGTGAAGCGGACGCGCGCCATGCGCCTCAAGTCTTCCTTTCCTCCTTTTGTATCCCTGCTTACCAGCCTTCATTTTTTGCCTTAACCCTTCCACTCGATTTCGAAGTGCAACAACCCGGCCACACCCGAGCATGCGGCCTGACCCGCCACTGCCGATCGGCGATCGGCGATCGTCGCCAATCAATAATCGCGTCGCCCAGGTTGCGTCATCCTCTCCTTCTCTTCTCATTTTTCTCACCACCGCGTCCGCGTCCGTCCATCCTCGACCGAAACCCTTTCAACGCGACGCAGTGGGATCAGCGGACGATCCCAAAGTACTCACGCCCACCGGCACCGCGGCCCGCCCAACTTCGTGCCCCTCTCACACGACCCTGATCTCTCACCACCACTCGAATCCACTCGAATCAAGTGTAAAGGAACAAAAAGAATCGTGTAGAGGACTAGCAAAAAGCATAGGAACACGATGGCCTCCCCGCCCTGGCACTACGTCCTCAAGTTCATCATCACCGGCGACGCCGCAGTCGGCAAGTCCTCCGTGTCCTACCTCTCTCTTTCTATTCCTTCCCCTTTCTTTCCTGGCCATTCTTCATTGCCACTGCGTTGGCACCCGCCCGCCTTCCTTCGCGTATTTGCCAAGTGGGGAGAATGCAATGCTAACAGCTCGGCGTCGAATTCGGCTCCAAGCTAATCACCCTCCCCGGGCCCGAGCCCACCGTCGTCAAGCTGCAGTGCTGGGACACCGCAGGCACGGAGAGCTTCCGCAGTATTACGCGGAGCTATTATCGCGGCGCCGCGGGTGAGTCTTGCTCGCGTTCTTTGATTCTTGGGGAACGGGAGATGGTTTGGGAAGGGCGGGGAGGGCGGCGGCGTTGGCATCGACGTAGGATGCCGTATGTCTTGCACGTATTGCACCGTCGTCAACAACCCCTCGCGTACGGCAACAAGCACGTTCTGCGCGTGCCGGTGTCCCCACCCGTTGTGCGGCGCGTCTTTGCTTTCGAGGCCGTGCCCGTGCCGGTGCATCGTCAATGGATGCCCACAGGCTTCTCGTGCTCACTGCACTCGCGGGATCATGTTCCTCTGCAACCATGCTGCTCGCGTGCGCGTACATACTTCGTGGATATGTACCACCCGCCGTGTACTCCATCGTTTCCTTCGCGCGGCCGTCTTTCTCCAGTCGCACCCGACCCGTGTCGGTGTCCCACCTGTAAACCAGAGTGGCTTGGGATGAGATCGAACGTGTTTGCGCGCGCACCCAAGCTCGCGCCTGTGCGGCTATCCCACGGCGTCCTGCATCTATCGCGATGGGTCGGCTTTGTACAGTTCTCTACCACTGCAACATCCACGCCCGTCCGCCTACACCGTGTGGGGATGGAGGCGTAGCGGATGCTCGCCGTATGTCCCGATCCTGCCCCCACAGGTTCTGTGGGTCGTCCACGCAACCCACCGGGTCTTATTTCCTTTCTTTCATTTCTGGAATCCTATCCTCCTCCCACCCGCACCCACAATGTAGCCGATCGTTTTCTGGGATTGTTGCCGCGTAAACCCTTTCGTATGCAGCTCTACGTCGTGCACGCTGCGCGAAATTCTCCGGCATGACGTGCATACATCGACGTCGAGCGCGTATTGCACCGCACCCCGTCTGGACATCGCGAACGCGGAACGCGTGCGGGTGCTGTGCGGCGGAGTGGGTGTCTTCTGCCGGACGACGGAAACGGGTCTCTGCCCCCTCACTCGTTCTCGGTTACCCTTTGCTTTTCTCTCCCTCTTCCTCTTGCTCTCATCCTCACAAGTGCGCAGTACGCTCGAGCTAACAAAAAATTTCCTTTTCCCCCAGGTGCCCTTCCCCGCCGAAGAACTCAATCACCTCCCTCTGCTCAATCAACGCCCTCGCGCCACGCTCGCCGGCCTGCGCCCATGTACGTTTTCGCATTTCTTCCCTCCGCGATTGCCTTTGCACGAACACGCACACGGTCTCGCCTTGTGATTACCTTTACACTTTCTTTTCCTTTGGCGGAGGCACACTTTCTTTTTGTCTGCGTGGGGAGATTTCCGTTTCTTCGGGATCCTTTTCGTTTCTTTTTCTCCTTTTTTCTCATTACGCGGCGGGGAGGGTGGGTATTGGTGGCGCCATTCGTGGGTGTGGGAAGGGTCGTACGCTGACGGCCCGCGTGTCTGGTGCCGTACGCCGCCAGGGCATGCGGTGATGCGACAAGGGCGTTATGGAAGGAGGTGTTCGTGTAATGCGAGGCGGCGCTGGCTTACGTTGCGGCCATGGGGGAGCCGCTACAGCTCGCACTTGTGTGTGAGGAGCAGGTGAGGAGCAAGTGCACGCGGAGTCATAGTGAGAAGATCCTCGAGGTGGACCCTGACGGCGCGGACACCGCACTCATGGGGCGGCGCGTCGCACGGATGAAGGTAGGCGGACGCGAGTAACGTGCCGAAGTGGGGCGTGGGTTCGTGCGTGCGGTAGTAATTCAACCTCGCGATTTGATAATCCATAATCGGTGACACACCAGTAATAAGGTAAAAATTGCGACACAACTCGGCTTCAATGCAGTTTGGCAACTGGCGTGATGTGTCTACATTCGAACACACGGCTCAATTTCAATAGGGGGTTGCCGATTTCCCACGGTTAGAATTTGATTCCCACGGTTGAAGAACTAATACATCCAGATTCGTGCGTAGGTGACATAAATTTAATTGACAACCCCCCTTGACACAATATTAATCAAATAATACTTCCAACATCTGGAAAGCAGTTTACCGCACTCAAATCCTGGAAAATTATTCTGGAAAATCGTTCAGGACACAGGGAACCGGGCAATGGCGGAGTGTTTCGATTTCATCTGGACCTATGCTAACATTCCTCGATCCTGGACTATGAGGTTCGATTTGGATTTGGCCTACTTGCAGAACATTCACATGTTATTCTCGATATGCTGGCTGAACACCGTCGTACTCTGGCGCTCCTTGCCGCCTACTGGATATTTTCAAACCGTGACCGCGAATCCTGCCAACGAATCCACTTGGGCTCCGAACAGGGATCAGCAATGTGAGGATACATATGGTTACCCGGTTAAAAAGGTTACCTGGTACGTTGTTCTCTCATCGGGCTTTCGCTCATTCCTTCACAGATAAATTGCAGGAGTCGTACATTAACGGTTACTTAAGACAAAGTAATGAGAGGCATGACAATCATAAATAAGCCGCACAATCTTTGTAAACCAACTGCTCCTCAGTGACCCCTGCACGAAGTTTGTCCCACAAATCCTCGTGTCCCTCGAAAAGTACAACATCGTCCACCGTAAGGCGACTTACGATACCGCGTACATTCGCTCCGTCCTCGATCAACATTGTGGCGATCTCCAACCTTCCACGGTCTAGTGGTCTCTCGGCAAGGGCAATGTGCAAAGCAGTTGGTCCATGCCCCGGGAAACAGTGGGTATCGGATCCCGTGCTTGCACAGGCGTCGGATCCACGTGCCAAAAGCTCCCCCACAACGCGAGCGTCGCCCGTCATGGCCGCTAGGTGCAGCGGCTGCCCAGCCCACGTGTCACCTACGCGAAGAGCGGTCGGTCTCGGATACTGATGGGGCCATTTCTGTGTCGTGGCATGTACATCTACGCCGTTGGCCAAAAGCACATCTATGACGGCCCCATGACCACCAAGAATTGCGGTGTGTAGTGGCCTCCAGCCGTGCTGGTCGACCTCTTCGGGGTTCGCACCGCATGCGATCAAGTGCGCCACGGTGCGCGCGCTGCCGGCTTGAACAGCAAGTTGCAGAAGTGACTTGTTGCTTTTGGTCCGCTGTAACACCAAATTGTGCTGTTTCAGACAGACACAGAGGTATGCAATGATGTCATCTGGCAGGGAAAACGGAACTGGCTGAGTCCAGTGTCCATTTGCGTGGGGCTTTTTAGCGCTGTTTTCCAGCAGACAGGAAAGCGTAGCAATGTTTTCCCGAATCAGTGAAGTCATGAAAAAATCAATGCCAGTTTCATCAATCTGATAAAGGTCAGCGCCGACATCGAGAAGTGCTTGTATAACTCCGGGAACTTCAGTGCGTTTGACAGCACTGAGTAATGCTGAATTCACATCAGCGCCAGCTTTAATGAGGTCTTTTAAAATGAAACCAAACGCCTCTCGAGCGCATTCATCCACGCACAAACGATTTGACTCCCACAGCAAGTCTCCGACAACCTGGCCGTTCCTCTCCAGCTTTGCCCCATGGTCAAGAAGAAAGTGTACGGCGCCATGCTGTAGCTGCCTGATTGCTTGGGTCAGAAATTGCTCAAGTGGTTGTGTTGTTCGCAGCTGTGCATCATGCTTTAGGAGTGCTGTGAATATGTCCCAGTTCCTGGAGTGAAGGGCCAGTGAGAGCGGGCACTGTATACCACTTTTTATGTCACTTCTATCAACCGAGGAATACGGGCTGTCAAGGGATGAAACCTTTTGACATTCCATGCTTTCTGCACCTGGTGGGGACTTTTGCAGTAGTAGATCAAGGAGGTTTTCCAGGTCCTCTGGGCTACGGCCACGAGCTTTGCTTTGTGCGAAGGCATGGATAATACAGTACCCATGAGGATCTGGCCCCGGTATTGTTGCCCCATTGTCCAGAAGCAACTTCACCAAGTCCAGATCATGTGCCATGACTGCATGGTGTAGAGCCGATCTACCCGACTTATCGAGAAAAGTTGCATCGGCCCCAGCACGGAGCAGGAGGTATGCAAGACTGGCGGGCAAGGTTGGGTCTGCTTTGCGGTAATCCCGATCATAATCAGAGACTTCCCTGCCAAAGCCCGATGTGAGCATCAGTGGTGTAAAACCACTGACATCCGGTCCCATTTCACGCTTCTTGGATAGTGAATCTTGAATGACTGCGTTGACATCAGCACCACCCCTAATGAGTGCCTTTGCTGTTTCCTCGAAACCGTTCATAACGGCTTGGTGCAGTGCTGTACGTCCACGAACATCATAGAGCATAGGATCTCCCCCAGCGGCAAGTATCAGATCAACCAAGCGGTGGTCCA